TATGAAAATGCTTGAATTTGCATCTGGAAATAGCAGGGATTTGGAGATAAAAGTCCACTATAAATAAAATGTGTGGCTGTACACTGATAGTAATACGATCCAGGTTAAAGAAGTATCTGTACAGATACAACATTAAATTTCAAAACACTACACGCTGAGGAGTGTCCTCATTTAAATCAGGACTCCTCCAGCTCCTTGGTCAGACCATGCATTACTACGTTCACCACCACATCAGGGGAGATGTGGCTGTGTCTTTACATGGAGCAGCAACACGGGAAAGAAATGACAACACCTGCAACAGAGGGAACCACAACATTCAGAGAACATCCTCCATTAAGACACACTTCCTTCTGAGCTGCCTCTTGTGCAGGGCACCTGTACTCTTTCCCACTGCCCTTACATGCAGCTGTCCAACCCGACAGTAAGACGATAGAAAAGAAATTACAAGATGTAACCCACGATAACTAAACAGCTCAGCCATTTTGTTCCTCTTTTATTTACAGTGACAACTCTAAATTATAATTTGGCTTCAGAACAAAATGTCTTGGAAAATGCTGCACAAAGATCCTTAGTAGCTGTAAACTGCCATCATTTCACTGAGGGTAATAGATTTACACCTCTCTCTATCAGCTGGGGATCAGATCAATTTTCTGTGGGTTCACTAAGCCTTGCTTTTTTCTTACTGTTGGGAAAAAATCAAACAGTTCTTCCTTTAGTATCTTTCTTTTTAATTTTTGTGGATTCTTTTTTAGTGTGCTTATACGTCAAGGAGTAACTTCTAACCGAGATGCTGCTAAACAGGGCCCCACTCTGAAGACTGTCAGTACGGGTGAATGTGTTTTCCTGGAATATCTTGTGCTGTTTGCAGAATTGCATGATTGTGTGACATCTGCTCCACATCTCATACGTGGTCGACTGAGAAGGTACAATTGTGGCAGATGGCTGATGATGACTCACCTCGCAGCAGTGAACACTGGTTTGCTTTCTGAGAAGTAACATCTTCATATTAATTTTGCAAGAGCCTGCAAAGATGTGACCAGCCCACCTGGTTTGCTAGCAGGCAGTGCAAGTTGCACGGAGTGCACAGGGATGCAACAGCAACATTTTTTTCCTTTATTATCCTGACTGGGATAAATTTTAAAATACAATTCATGGGCTACTATCAGATAAATCCAGAAACGGAAACTGGGTTCACTGCTGTACTGTCTAAATGCTAGGCATCTAAGTAGCAAAATTTGTATGTCTGAACGAGATAGAGATCTAGGATTCCTATGCAAAGGAAAAACAGGAAAACAATATTCAGAAAAGCCATTCCCTTGAGTGGGGAATCAGTAATATCAGAGAAAAAGACATACCTTAAACCCTGTTCATGGTCTGACTGCCCTGTTCCAGGCTATCAGGAATGCCATGATGGATCTTAGTCAGCAGACCAGAGCAGAAGGTCATCCCCAGCAATTCTTGCATTCCACAAGAAATAACATACGCCCTTGCTATACGAGAGATCTTTGATGAGCCCTTCTCTGATGAGCCAAGTCTCTCTGAATTGCTAATGGCTTAATGTTTTAACGTTACTGAAGGCGTATGCATGACTAACAGCTGTGTCCTAAGGAAACTGATCTCATACCTTCATTTTACAAAGAAACTACCTTAAGTTTCCCAGGAAGGAAAGAGGGGAGGAAAAGGTGAGTAGAGAGGAGAAAAGGATAATGCTGTCATTGCTAATTCTGATTCTTCCCATATGGAACAAATACTAATCAGGTGTGACACAGGAAGAAAGCAAGAGCAAGCAGGATTATAATCCAGGATTTAAAGACATTAATAGCTCACAGTTCTCTTTCAGAGGTGAGTGCCATGTTCACGAGCACTTGGAGTCATACTGTCTACGTACATCTCTAGCCCAATGAAAACTCCCTTATAAAAAAATGGAAGCACTTCAATAGAAAAGATTTAAAATGCCTCTTTTCAGAAAAACCTATAACTCAGTGGTCAGAACTACAGCCACAGAAATAGGCATTCATGCTTCTAGAGACAGGGAGGGGAACTGAGCATGTTTGCCTTACATCCTCTGTACGTATTCCCACTACCAGGCAATGTCTCAAAAGGAAACTGCTCCTCTTCCATCATGTTATGGGCACCAATGGACATGTTCCTAAAATACCTTCTGGGGTGGCTCCTGCTGAAGGACTTCAGATACTAGAAAAACATTGCTGAGCAGCATAAAGACAAAATATTTAGACGTACTTAAATTATCTACACGGTTGTCTTCTCTGTACTGCTACTGTTTGCTATCTGCTAAACATAAAGGGAATTCTCAAAATGGTACTGTTGTCACTTATCATCCTCAAGAGCAACTTAAACCCTAGCACACTCAAACCTGCAAAAGCTGAGTCCCTCTCCCTCAGATGGTGTACAATGAAGGTATTTAGTTCATACAGAAAGGATCTTTGAGGATAAAACTCTCACTGGAATTTTATATCATTCATTTTCCACCAGTAACTGTTGAGTTTACACCATGGTGCCGAAAAGGTACATTAGAACTTTCTACCTGAGCTGTGCAGAGCTTACTCAACTTGTTTGGTACCTCTGTGCTGCTGACACAGAACTTTAACAGATGGCCTTACAATGCTGGCAGTTGTTTTGTGCTGTGCTAGTAATGAGGGGAAATAGTCTACACAAATTGTCTGCAATTCTGGAAAATAAATGAAGTATGAATCCATATTAACCTCAAAAGCCAAACTATGAAAAATCAGATTATAATCTAATGATGTATGTTTTCTGAGTCAAATGCTTAGTTGCTGCAAAATGGCAGTATTTCCCTTCCATAAGAGAAGTATGCTTTGCCACAGTGTCCACCAGGAACATCCATACAGACGTAATCTTTAGAAAGATATTGAAATATGCTAGGAATAAGCCCTCAGAACCTTCCTCATGTCATCAATGATCACAACCTACCAGCAAACATACCTTCACAAACTGGATGTTTTTAAGATACATGAACAGTGAAGCAATAAGGTCTAATTTAATTTAACTGGTTCTATTTATTACTTTTTTTTCAGCGCTAAGCAGAATTCAAGGACACAGCAGCTACTGTGCAAATGTTAAAATCAACAAAGACCAAGTAAGCTCAAGTCATTCTACGATTCTATGACACAGCCTCTCACACTTTTCTTCTGCCATTTGAAAAGAGGTAGATGTATCACAAGATGAATTTTACCTTCACTAACTCCTTCTGGTGGGATTCGCCCTGTCCATAAAGCAACATTATTCTCCCTCTTTGTTTCTGCATGGCTAATTTTTTCTCTTTTATTGTGCCAATTATCAGACATATCATCCGAGTTGAACTTATAAACTGTGTAAGCAGAATAGCGCTTTTTAAAAGTATGACCAATGATTTTCTTCACAAGTAAAAGACAACCATGAAATGTATATTCGTGCATTCATATTACAATACACTTGTAGAAATTTAGAATGGGGTTTTAGAAAATTGGAAGCCTTTCAGTGCAATGCTCACCTCTTCCAATTGCTTTACATGAAAGATAGCTCAAAAGATGTTTCAAACAGATTTCAGGGATTTGGTGGTTCTGTTCCCATGTATTTCAATTATTCAGTGAGACAGTATGCCTGCTACCTTTTATGTTATTACAGTGTTAGATACATTGATATACAGAACCCTTATGTACCATCAAAGCTTTAGAAGACCACAGAACCCTTAAAACATTAACATAAAAGAGCCCTTTAATTGGTAGAGGTACATTTCAGTCTTCCACAGGGACTGAATCAAGGCTGTGCTAATAAAGTTTTATTTTATCCACTAGGGTTGCTTAAAAATACTATTTTTGGAACTGGGTGGTGCTAAATGTTTGTGACTTTGATACAAGCAAAAAGATCTTTATCTGTGTAATGTTATTTTGTACTCAAAGACCTCTGAGTTTGAAGCTGTTAACAAAAAATACTACTACTACTACATTTCAAATAGGTCTTACGTTTTTTTTTCTATTTTCCTCCCTCTCTCCTTTGCCAGACTAAGAAGACACAACATACCTCCAGAAAGTACTTATACAAATGCAAGGCAATCATTCTCTGAAAGCACGCATTATTTTTCATCACAAAAAAAAAAAGAAAAAGTAATGTTAGATATTTAGTCAAAATATAGGAACATTAGCCCTTCTGCTTTTTTTTTCCCAGGCTTAAAAATTCTGTCATATATTTCAAGCTATGATCCTTGATGTAGCACTTCACAATGAAATTCCCAGGAGGAGAATTGGAATACATGTTTTAGTACCAAGCACATTGTATCTTGGGAAGAGGTCTTCCCTTGCAGATGCAGAATATGAGTGATGTGATGGGAAAACTTAATGCCATCCTCCTAGTTACTGAGAGCCCTTCCAGTCTCTACAACACCTGGTTGTATTACCCTCTTCCTTGAGCCTCTGTTCACTGCTCAATTCAGGCCCCACAGATCCATGGTGAACATCAACTGCTCTTGTGAGATGCAGACAGGTATATACAACTACATATGTCAAAAGGTGTCTATATGGTGTCTACATATGTCAGAAGGACGTGACATGAAATGAAAGGAGTTTCCTGGGGAAACTAAAAGTAACGAAAAAGTGTAGCTGCACAGGACTTACATTATACATGCCAACAATTGTCAGTGCTCTACCTAAGGAAGATTCGAGCACTCTTGGACTAAATGATCTGCCTACAGCTGTGAGCAAAGGTCATTCTCAATGGTTTGGAACAAATTTGGTAGGCCTGCACTAAAACAAGAAATAGTCACAGGAACTCAAGACTATAAAATTTCCACCAAGAAAATACATTGGTTAGTGAATATGGATTGTTGTTCTGCAGCTTGTGCCCCAAGCTGGGCTTTACTCAATTTTGATATGACTAAATGTGGTCAAAATGCAGTTTGCTTGAGTACGGTCTTTGTGATTTATCTGTGTTCTCTTTATCCAACACTTTCTGAAAGAGTACCCAACATTTTTCTTCTTAAATACCTTTATAGTTTCAGTAGGCACTCCAGGCTCTGGAACTTTATCCAAGTAAGTAGTCAAGTCTTGATCCACATGTTCAAACACCAACGTTAACTTGGTCTCTCTATCTGTTCGTGACACGGTGCACACATCAAACAATCTGAGATGAGGGAAAGAAAAGAGGAGGTGAGTATACAGGAGCCAGCACAGACACACCCTGCAGCTCACACGTGTCTATTTCAATTTCCTACGGCACAGAGAACTAAAAAAAAGACCATTCCAAAGGTAGTGCAAACTTCAATCTCTTGATCCATCAGATAACTACGGATACATTGATAATATGACCTCTTTCATGTAGGGATTATAATAGGGGATTAAGTAAGAATTCATCGGCTTATCAAAGTAAAATAATTATATTAAAAGAAAGTATTTTCTTGATAGAGCAACCAAAGTTAATACAGAACCTGATCTGACATTTATCCACGGTCTACACTTCATCAATTGCACTTCTCAAAAAAAACCAATATAAGTAACATTTCTGAGGGAAAAAAGATACAGGTTGCCTGCACACACCTTCAGTTTCTTCCCGCATAACTCACCATTCACCATTATGTGCCTTTAGAATTAAATTTTCTTTGGTAGAAATTAAATATTTTTGCTGATTACTCCTGCAAATTTCCAGAAGCAAGGAATACATTCAGTCAAGATACAGCTAGGAAAAAAGCCTTAGGCACAAGATGCCACTGCTGAGAAAGCTTTCTTTCATCACTTTCTGCCACTCTTTTACTGGAATTTCTTTATCATTTTACCACGTTGCACAACATCAAATTCAAACTTATTTTCAAAGCTGTTCATAATTTTGCATTCCTACCTCATTACTCTATTTTCTATTGTCTTCTTTTTTTAATTAGGATTTTTCTCACCTTCTTCACTTCATCTACTGTGTCAGTTTTTTATCTTCTACACAGAATCCCTCCCATCCTTCAGTACTTCACACCTATTGTTGTACCACTGACCATCACATTCACCATCCTCCCTCAAGTCTCACTTCTAAAAAAAAGTCCTAACAGGAAATCATCCTACAGATGGAAGAAAGCTGTTCCCTGCTCACATACTTTACTGATGTGTGTATTCAGGTAGTTGACAAATTGTACAGACCAGTTTGCCTCTCTCTGAAGTAAGGCAGAAAATCAACTGCTACTTTTGTTAGGTGACAGTAGAGCTAAGAATACAATTAATACCATTATTAAGAAAGATATCCACACTGCTAAACTGAAAAACCTATCGTTGATAACAAATAAAAAGGAGTACTAATTATTTTGGTCAGTGTCACTGAATATGACACTGAAATCATGTTCTTTATTACAGACGTCTTTTATGCTCTTACACAGAATAACTGCTTGTTTACTTTGTGGAAAGTGTAGGATTTCTGATAATTTTTTCAAGTAATATTTTTGTCTTTTTCCTAGGACTACGTACTTCATATGCAGGATCTGTATACAGCAGATGACACACAAAGCCCTGGGGGTCACTTTTAAAATGCGTCACCTGAGAGCAGAAGAGGCAAGTACCTTGTACAGAGTTTTTACTTCTTATCTTAAATAAGAAAATATTTCACAAAGGAAGGGAAGATAAGAATTGGCAACACTATCTGTGAAGACTGCGACCAGTTTAAAAGAGCATTATGCTTCATTTGAGACAGTATAGATTTAACATGTTATGGCTCTGGTCCCATTTTAATAGCATTTCCTAAATAATCTTTGGTCAGACACTTGAAAATTGTTTATTAGACATTATGTTTTGAAAACGGATGCATGTACATTCCTTTTAGCCTGAAAGAGCCTTTCAGTGAGTAATTATTTGGGAACTGGAGTTACAGAATATGGAAAGCCATCGCCCTACCTCTGTCAAGAAAATGTAATCTGTTCTTAATCTGTAATCATCACGTGAATGAATATTTATTGAGTGATTATGGGAGCCTAATTACTGTTAACAGCACATTTCTCATACAGATATATAGTATTCTCTTTGTGATTCTCTTAATGCAGTATATATGGAGATGCCCGTACACAGTGAATCAGTTTTGTGGAAAGTCACAAACCTTCCTGAAAAGTTAAATTTGGTGTTATTTGGCTGGAGGTTAATAATCTGTAATATATTTATATAAATCCATGTGGAATGTAGTCGGACTGCCTATAACCCCAACACATGCAAATAGAGAGGAGCCAGACAGGTCTGAACATCTGAACATAAACACTGGAAAATATTTCCAACTGTATGATTTCTTTGTGTTGACCTACATTTACCTAAAAATGTTCTAAAACACCTCTTTTGCCTGGTATTTAATACACTGGCAAAATTATCCTTTCAACCGCAGCAGAACTATAATTTGCTAAAAAAAAGGAAAAAAGATTTCACTGTATACAATATAGAAGCAACATGAAACTTCCAACTCACTGTAGAAGGAAATGCTGATTCTCTGTTTAATTCTTCTGCGTTGGGCTTATTTTAATGCTGGCATTTTCTGACACAGCACAATTAGGAACTCTAAGGAGTGCAATTCTAGTCTTCTATTATTGAGCCATAATACTATCAGTGATTAATAATACCTTAACCTTTTATAAAGCCATTATGTGAAACTCTAAATGGTCTACTGCTAATAAACCTCCATATCCTACATGGGGCTCGTTGGAAGCGCATTGTGTTTACTTGCAGAAAACAACCGTTGCCTTAAAAAGACAATAATTTACAGAGTAACAGAAATGAATCTGCAATATTACAAAAAAACATCTGGCACTGCCTGCACTAATAATTTTGAAAATATGTAGGATATTCCAAAAGTAATGCTTCCTATTTATTTCCAAGGAAATCACAACAGATACAAAGAGCAAAATAACTATTCGATAGAGCAAATTTTCAGCTATGAAATACTATTATTCAACACAATCACCACCATCAGCTACGCACTTTTGCTAGCAATGAACGAGAGCTGCATGCGGTTTTTGTATAAATCTGCATGGCTGTCCAGAACATGGCTTGTCTTTCATGTCACTGTCATTGCTGCTGCACCACCCACTGTGCTCATATCCACTGTTAGGACTCCATAATCATTAGCTAAGCATCCATGAAGATCAATGGGTGCAATTTTTCCTGCAGAGAGGAATTCAATTCCACACCTTCTACGTCACACACCACTCCTCCGTGTCTGCTGCCCTCTGTCACATGGCAACAACATGTTACAGAACATTGGGAAGGTTCAACCTCTACTTCATAGCACCAACATCCACCTTGGATGTCATGGGCCGATGTAGTAAAACAGAAGGCATTACTTTAGGAGCAGCCCAAAGAAGATTGAGCAAAACAGAGCATCTTCACCAGACAGTGTCCATGGGGATCAAACTACTTTTCATAAATTATTTTATATCCACTATAGAAAACAATGCACAGAGTTGCCTTCTTTAGTTAGGCATACTTCTGCTGTGTGCACTGGTTATCTTTCACGCCATTTCCTCATGATTTTCTCTACATGATGAGCCAGCTGTGTATGTCACTGCCTCTCTGGAACAGGCAACAGCAAAAGAGCTTCTATTTAAAGAGTTAGGTTGTGGACACCATCCTAAGTGAAGTGAATGTACTTCAATTAATACAGGATTTCCATACGGAATTCTCTGTAAACACAAGCCCTGCCCTTCTATTGTACTTACAAATGAAACGATTGAATTATTTGATTAAAGTAAGATCCGCTATGGGAAATCCTGCAAGTATTTAACAAGATGTTTGGCTGGAAGTCATGTATCGCCTGACACGTTGAGCTGAACTAACACTGTTCAACAGACATTTAATGAGTACCTATGTTTTAATGCATTTTTTCAGGTTAATAGAACTAAAATAAAAAAGCTTATCAGATACAAATCTAATCTGTATCTATTTTACAAAAATATCTTTCTCTTTCTGAATGTAGTAAACTAGATGATGCATCCTGAAGTCCCTGTTATTTCTTACAAGTAATGTGGTAAATGCAATCCCAGTTCATCTTTATTTCACATCACAACATGTGAATGATAAATGCTTTCAGCAGAAAAAAGGCAGTTTGCCGATTCCCTTGAAAACACGGCATATATTCTGACTGCTACTAATTTGCTAACAGCTTCTAGAGGGTCTTTCAGTGTTATTAGATTTGCTCTTGAGATGCTCTGAGAACTGTTATAAAGTTACCCATTTTCGAAAGGAATAAACTTTTTTTTTCCTGTGCAAACTGAGGCAGCAGAGATGGAGATCAAAACCATCAGGCTACCAGGCTTGCCACCTGCAGAGAATACCAAACAAGAGGTCTGACTGTAAGACCTGAAAAACTGCAGGACATTAGCTCCCTTGGTTACTCTCAAACAGATGAGTAAGTACAACTGGAAAATTAACCAGAGCATAAAGGGAACACTTGCTGCCAAAGCATCCAAAGGCTTATTGTTATTTTTATTGCAGTAGGGCTAATCCAACACGAACAAAGATCCTGTTACTGTGCTGGTCACTCACAGCACAGAACAAAAAGACAGTCTCTGCCCTCAGAAGTGTTTTAGTAATAGGGATTTACCATAATTTTCTTAGGAACAGTCTCTTCCCAGGAAGAATTGCTTCCTAGATTGTGTGTGACAAAAAAAAAAAAAAAAAAGAAAAAGAGAACTGGAGACGCTGAGAAGGAGAAATATTTAAGATGTTCCCAGGTTTCAGAAATCTGGACAAGGACTTAGATGGAAAAGAGTTCAGTGGTCTCAGCGTAACTCTGAAAGGTATTTACCACAAGACAGAAAACCATCATGAAATATGACAGTGTTCATGCAGACATGACAAAATTCGGGTACCAAAACTACTACAGGTCATGATTGAGGTTTATTGACAAGTATGTTTGGGGCAGTCTGAATAGCTTCTGCTTTCACTACCTGTGGCTCCAGCTAATCCTGCCAGTACATAATCTTCAAGTGCACAAGAATTTCAGCCTCTCATACCTAAAAACATTGAAGAATGACAGTCAGGCATCCCTTGGGTCCAAATTTCAGCAGCAGCCTTAGACTCTTCTGTTCTCTGGAAGTCACTAGTCTGTAAGATCTGCCTCCTCAGCACTTGAAAGCCCTTTTCAGCCCAACCATTTAAACGAAGTACTCCTTG